AGAAACAGAGTGAGGAAAACTAGTGCGGTTGGAGAAAAAAAATAAAGGTGAATGATGACAAGAAAAAAGAATTAGGCAATGTAAGTATGATAAAGGAGTGGATTCAGAATGGGTTCCAAGCACTGTCCAACCAAGAATGCATCCTCCTCAAGTGCCTCCTAGGGTTTCTGAGAACAGTTCTCTGGACAAGAGGGATTTCTCAGAGCTTAAGAAACCACACTGATTAAGAACTTCCGTCACCTCACGAGGATCGTGAAGTAAACTGTCTTTGGGCTCCCTGAAGAATTAAGCATTAGAGTGAAGGATCTGAAGGAGACCAGCGGTCCCTGACACAGAGAGAGCACCCCCTTCCCCCACCACCTACCATGGCCAACACACTTTCACAGAGAGGGAACCACCATGAATTTCACTCTCTGCCTCTAGGTGTTTGCAAAACCCTCCTGGATTGCTTCAGCATCTCCCCAGAAATCTAACTCCCCTGCCTCAACTGTAATCTCCAAGAAAGTGATTTTTTTTTTTGCCCCAGTTAAAAGATGAGTATCACAAATCCACCCTCTGCTGGATTCCACTGCCTTCTCCTGGCCTCCAAAACTTACAGAGTAACTGATGGAGAGTTTTATCACCATGGCAACAAATTCCTATAGTGTCTTCAATGAAATCACAGCCTCCACAGGGCATCAGCCCTTCACTATATTGTATCAACTTCAATGCTTACTTTCTTCTAACCAAGACACTCTATCTGAATTTTATACTTTTGAAGTATTCAAGTTTAGAAAAAAGTGTTTTTTTTTATTGACAACTGTTATTGATAATTCACCTTGCATTATATTTTTTTGGTTCAGGTTTTCCAAAAATATTTTTCATTGTACTTTAAAAAAATTAGGTCAACACCTAGTATGTGCACAGTATAAGGTGTTTCTGCATATTTCTGTCTTTCCTGATTTTAAACTCTTTTGCTAAGCCCTTCCTTCAAGGAGTGCTTTCTTTCCTTCCTTTTTTTGACATCCTCATTTCTACATTACGACTGACTAACATAGATCCAGCAAGTCAATTCCTATGCCCAGTTCTTTTGGATTAGTTTTTGAAATTTGTCCATGTGTCTGAATTTATATACTCATTGGGCTCTCTCAACCATTTCTTCCTTCATTTCTCTGGCTTCCTTCATCCTTCCATTAGGAACCTCTGTCTTACCATCTGTGGTCACTCTCCTACACTGTAACAGCTTCCCAGCCTGGTGACTGGGGACTGACTCCAGACCAGCTGCTCCTCCCCTAACTGTGCCTGGGAGGCAGGCTGAAGCACACCACCATTCAAGGAGCTAATTTTCCCTCCACATTTCAGGTGAGGTATTTTTGGTGCAGAGAAAATTCTTTGTCTTGGAACCAACAATTTTTAGTGTTACTGTTCAATTTTGGACTTACTTTTTCTGAAAGGCACAGTCTATACTACTTGAATTTTAAACGATAAAGCTCACGTTCTAACAATTCATATATACAAATATTCATTTGGTGAATTACCTTCAGATAAAAATCTACTTTAATTATTTTCTTTTACACATCAGTGGCATAGAATTTTTATGACACTAGCTCCATAAAACCACATTTCGTCTTGAGAAGAACTCGCTGACTTTTAGAATATACATGGTATCCCCAAAAATGTATATACACTTTGAATAATTATTAATTCCAATGGGTTAAATCTGAAAAGAAAGAAACATCAATTGAGCGATCAGCTGTTAAGTTTGCATACATTTTTGGGGATACCCTGTATATTTTATTTTATCACATGCATAGCAAAAGAGGAAAAAAAAAGGATTGGAACATTTTGGGACAGGTATCAGTTTTCTCCCAAGAGCCAAATCTGCTTAGAATAAATTCAATATATAGGACTTAATTCTCAGATGAATCTATACTTAGTGAGGTATCAGCTTCATTTTTATTAAATATGAATAACAATGAGTATTGTTATTTTAGCTGGATAGCTTTTCATTGTGGGGGGAGGTGTGCACTGTAAGATGTTCAGAAGCATCCCTGGGTTTACCCATTATATGCCATTAGCACTCACTCCAGACAGTGCCACATGTCCCTGAGTGGGGGTGGGTTGGGGGGTGCAAGGGGTGGGGATCACCACTGCCATAAAAGAACCAAAGATTTGAATATAACCAACCAACCAAACAAACAAGGACGGGCCTAGCTTAATATACATATAACCTACAATTAAACAAAAATTACAGAGATTTAATTATATCTTCATTCACATGTAAAAATTAGCAACAAATCAAGGATGCACAAACCCTAAGACTCTTCCAATGAAATAAAACATTTGATACATTCACTTATTCTGAAAAGACACCCCTGGCTCTGCACTGGCATTATGTAGACTCTGTGATGTCACCACATTACACATATATTTAGTGATTGTTTGAAAAAAATCCTCAGTGATGTCCAGATAGAACATCAGGAGACCTTTACCACCTGTATTCAAATGATTCTATTGTTTTAAAGACACGGGCACCAAAACCAAAATAAATTGGGAAAACTTGAAGGTTTTCTGCAATGTTTTTATATCTGCAGCAAGGTAGGTATTAAGGGCTAGAGCAGTGGTTCTCAACCTTCTGGCCCTTTAAATACAGTTCCTCATGTTGCGACCCAACCATAAAATTATTTTCGTTGCTACTTCATAACTGCAATGTTGCTACTGTTATGAATCGTAATGTAAATATCTGATATGCAGGATGGTCTTAGGCGACCTCTGTGAAAGGGTCGTTCAACCCCCAAAGGGGTCACGACCCACAGGTTGAGAACCGCTGGGCTAGAGGATTAAGTAAAGGGGAGGTAAAGGTTTAGTAACAATGGCTCACATTTGTTTGATGGCTCTGTTCAGTTAGGGATGGATAAGGCTGCCTCTAAATCAACACTATTCAATTACATGAACACCAATGACACAGAGGTGAGAGACAGAGATAGAGAAAGAAAGAGATAGAGACACAATAGTATACTTTACCATCCCCGGGAATGATGCGGAGGGTAACTGTGTTTCCCGCTTCCTTGATTAGGTTGACAATGTCTGAATGGGACTTGTTGGTGATGGAACATCCATTTACTGCCAAGATCCGGTCTCCTACTTTCAGCTTGCCACATCGGTCAGCAGGGCTCCCCTCAATAATCCGACCTATTTTGTGAGGCATAGCCACACATGCATTGCCTGCTTTGATAGTGAGTTTTAATTTTTTTTAAAGTTACGTGGGAATATAGTACAGGGAGGAGAAAAAGGGTTGAAAAGGGAAAGAGAAGGTTAAGTGTTAATTCATTAAAGCATTAAGCAAATGTTATTAAAGGAGAGCTCTGCGCCGATGGTCAAAACATTGGCAACATTCAGGGCATCTGTGGGAGAAGCCACTGCCCTGACCTGCAGTCGTTTCCTGATTCAAAATGAGGGGGAAATCCCCGCTCCCCTCCTTACATCAATTATAAAACTTGGGGTATTTCACAACTTCAAAGATTCTCAAGAGCCCCCCAAATAACTTGCCGTGGACTGACTGTGGGACTTCACATGTGACCCCAGGGCTGGGAAGGGTGATTCTACACATTCTGTGTGCACGCCACGCCACTTTGCCAGCTGTTCTTTAAGCTTCTGCCAATGTTTTGTTCTTTCTCTATTTAGAAGAATAATCACTGGGAGTCTGGTGAGGCATGAGATCTGCTAGCACCAAAGATCCAATCTGAGAATGCCTACTGGACAAACACTTCAACTTCCTGCCTTCTCTCCAGAATGGCGAAAGCTTTAGAAAAGCAAGAGATGATCCAAGACAGCCCCCAACCTTGACATCTATTTTTGCTTTCATGACCTTTGCTCAAGCATCCTATCTCGTGTTTTCGGGGTAGGGCCCAATGGCTCATGAGTTCTGAAATCCTCCTCCATCCTCACAAAACCCCCCACAAGGAACTATGAAGACCTAGTACACTGATGGCGAACCTTTTGAGCTCGGCGTGTCAGCATTTTGAAAAACCCTAACTTAACTCTGGTGCCGTGTCACATACAGAAATTTTTTGATATTTGCAACCATAGTAAAACAAAGACTTATATTTTTGATATTTATTTTATATATTTAAATGCCATTTAACAAAGAAAAATCAACCAAAAAAATGAGTTTGCATGTCATAGGTTCGCCATCACTGACCTAGTACCTACTCAGGCTGAGGACGGTGACCCACACAAAGCTAGGTTCAAACCATTCCTCACCCTGTTTCTTCAATCATTTCCTCTCTTCTCGTCAGCTACTACTCGTTTGCAACATGAAAAACCAGAAAGAGTGCATTTGAAGAGGAAGGTTTATTGTGCACTTTGAGGGATTCCATGTCTCAACCAAGAGTATTGCTAACTTCTAGAGAGAGGTGGGAAATTGGCTTTGAAGCCTGACACAGAGTTTTCAGCTAATCGTATATTTAGTTTCAGTGTTTCTTATGCACATTCACCTATTTTGGGAATTTGTCTTTCTGGGGACTCTGAAGACAGGTAAGCAGTTGAGCCACCTTTTGGAAAGGGTGACAAAAGGAGCATGGGAGACACCGAAACTGAGTAGGCTCTCCCAGCATCATTGGGACCTTGAGGATAAAATATGTGGGGAAAGGAGCTGCAAGTCCTTTGAATTTCAGAATATTTGCCCGAGTTTGTTTTATTGGATGTAACATTATGGCGAAAGAATTTTTTAAAAGGAAGTTAAACAGTTTTTTTGGATACCACAGGCAGATGTGGTGGAAAGCTTCCACACTTAATTCAAGGTCTTGGTTAAGTTTTGCCCATCTCTAAGGACAACTCGCATGGGAAAGGTATCAAACAGCAGGTGTGAGGAAAGCTCTGCGTAGCTCAGAACAGAAGTGTCATGCAAAGTATTAGGGACAGTTTAATACATTCATTGCAAGAACCAGAGGAAAACAATCAAAGACCAATTGTGAGTGAAGACAGTCTATATTCATTAACACATAGCCTCCCACTGGACATATCTGCTACTTCTTTCTAGAAAGTGAAACAATTCTGAAATCCTGAGAACACCAGAGGGTGCATGGGGACAGTCAAGATAGGGATCTGAAGAAAATAACTTGGGAGTTCTCACTCCCCTGCCTTTCTTCTTATTTTTAAATTAAGCAGCAAAGTCTCCAAAACTAATTTTAAAAACAAAAAACATGCCTTGATGTCATGTCACCCATCCATGATATGGATTATTAAAGTAGCTCACAAAAGCACTGTTAGTAATGGGTGCTTGTTACTGCAGCCACACATGCACAGACCTGCTGACTGTCTCCTTGTGGCCAAACCTTAGGGAGACCGGCTTTAACAGGACGGAAAGGGCAGAGACTACATGGAGGCAAGGGGGTTCCTCAGATGCAGGAAGCTAAAGGGATGGACCACCTCGCTGATCTTAGCCAGCAAGGTCCTCAGACTCCTTGTGGGTGAGGCGTTTGGGGACAGAGCTGAGGTACATTTCAAAGCCTGCACAGCCCTCCTGCCTCCCATCACATTCTATATTCATCGGCAAATGTGCGTGGGGAATAACAAATTACTTTATCCAATGAAGAAGGGGGATCATTCTTGGAGCACATACTTATAATCCATTCAATCGGAAACAGATTCATAGATTACTAGTTCCTGGAATCCGCTGGCTTCCTATTTGTCTGCTGAGAGGTAACCTTCTGAGGGTGAAAATACTCTGCTGAAACCCCCACACCTGGGCTAGACGGGAAACTCACTCCTGCTAGAATTCAAGGGCAAGGAAGACACATGACTCTCAGGTTTTAATTAGATTGTTAATCAGGCAAAAGCAAAATTTACTTAAAATTGAAACATTTTAGATGGGGACAGAGTAGAGAAAGGACACAGATCAGGTGGAAAGGGCATTTCATGTAATATTTTTACTTCTTACACCTCTACTTCCTGAGCATTTTTACAGCCATATGCTCCTTAAAAAACTCCTAGACCTTCAGATGCTACTATTTCCCCGGCGAGAATTTCTCGACATCAAGGGGTTGCTCTGCGCATTGCGTGCAGATGTCAGCATGCTTAGGGGTGCGTGTGTGAACACGCATTCAGAATGGAAGCTGAACGGTTAAAAACCCCCAACCTTCAGGAGGGAAACGCTACCAAACAAACTGCATCCCAATTAAGACTTTAATCACCTGCAGCGAAGAGCAGGGAGGCGTTTCGGCTAATGAGATATTGACCGGCCTGCCTGGCGCCTCGCAAACCCTGGAAAGGGCACTGCCACTCACCGAAGGTCGTGCCCGCCTCGGGCCGGCTCACGGACGACACGATGACGAAGCCGAAGCCCTCGCTGTCCCCGCGCCGGATCTCCACGTCGTAGGG